AGCACTGAAGTTATTCGTCATAACTGACGGTATATGTAAATAACTTGAAAACAAAATAAATGTGTAACTGCATTAGGTATATAAAAAATTATTTCTTTGGAGCTAAAATATATAAATTCGCTATCTTAATTTCCATGAAAACTTCTTGTTCAAATTCTTAGGTCTAATTTACAATTCAGGGTTAACTGTATTTGGATTTATGTGTCTGAGCAATTAAATATTTGACATAAAATATTTACATTCACAACAAAGGTCTTTTATTTTTTAAAAAATGCAGAAAAATAACTCAGAAAAAATAAATCTTACCAATTCTCCAAAGTTTTTACCTTGTCAACATCTCTGGCATCATAAAAAATAATTTAGTGATCACCTCTGCATATCACACAGAACTTTAGGTAGGCCTGTGAGCCTCACAAGAGCTATTCAGTTGGCTGTCTTCTCAGTGCCTAGCATGGTGCACAGCCCAGAGCAGGTTCTCAGTAGAGAACATTAGCAAAAGATGATACATACCTTCATGAATAATGTAGGGAAGGAGGGAGGAAGGGAGGGAGGGAAATACAGATTGCCTTCCAGTTCACACCTTGGATACCTCTGATAAGTCTGAAAATTTTCTGTAGTGCACCTTAAAAAGCATTCTGCATCAATTGATACATTTACGTTATAAGCATTTATTTTATGCCAGATATGTTCCAGGCACTGATGTAAGCAGTGAATAAACATAGCCATGAACAAACTCTATACTGTCATGGTTACTAGAGTGGAACCCACATCCCTACCCTGAAAGGCAAATGTTGATAACACTGTTTTAGGAGTAGGAAAATAAAGATTTTCTCTCACAGTATGCTTGACATTCCTGACCTGTCCAGTTTTAAGTGGCACAACTTTTGCATATTAGCATTCTACTGTATTTGAATCCAGCTTTATAGACCCACACAGTCATTTAACATAGTATCACCAGCAGCTGATACTCTAATTCGAGCATGTTTTTACCACCAGGAAAAGGGTCTATTACCATATACATACATACATACATACATATATATGTGTATATATATGTGTGTATATATATGTGTATATATGTATATATATAAATTATTCACACATGTATACATACACACACATATGCACACACACATATACACATATATACACAAAAAGTAATTTTGCATTTTTTAGGCTTGGCACTATAAATATTAATATAATCTGATTTTGCATAGTTTTTAAGAATTTTACATATTTTAATTAGGCTTTAAACAATAATCAAGGTAATTTTTCTATAAACTCCCTTAAAAACATTTCTGTGGGCTTATTGGAAATTTACAAGGTAAGTTTACTGGAAATACGGCAAGAGAATTACATGTTAGAGCATGATATTTCAAAAATTTTAAACATAAAGGAGTTATCTAAATAAGAGTATTCATTTTAATTTTCGTAGAATGAGACACTATGTGAGACATTTGCTTTAAAAAAGAAACAATTTCCGTCCCCTTGAAAGATATTACAGACCTAATTATTAGAAACCAACTAAATGTTAAGAAAAACCACTTAATCCTAAATGCTTTAATGGATTTTATAAATTGGACCTATTAAATAATTTAGTAGGATTCATTTAAGTTTTAATTTTATCCAACAGAATTAAACATACTGAACTCTGTCCTCTTTGTGTTCCATGAAGCACTGGGTATGATGGGAAGAAAACTAGATCTAGAAGACTCAGGAGGACTGGGTTCAGGTCTCATCCCTGCTGCAACCTTAGAGGTGTCATTTGTGAGTATTGGTTTCTTTCCGGTGCAAAGGATCTTTTTGAAGACTGAGTAAAAGTAGGTGAAACTGACTTGTAAATTGTAAGAAGGCAATCTCACCACATGCTATTTATTACTATTACTCTATTGCCCTCCTGGCAATGAAGAGGGGACATTAATCACAGGTCTCGCCACCCCAAGCTGAAGGGATCGAATCCCAATAGCTGCAAGCATCCCGTAATCAGGCCAGACCCCAGTGATCCTCTCTGCTCAGTAGGTTGAGCAAAGACGTCCAGGTGTTCTGCCTCCAGTCAGGTACTCTTTTGAACAAAAAGAAAATTGGACTCACTGGTTTGAGAACCAGTAGCTCATACTCTATGTGCATTTAGTGTAGCTGCACAAAATACTCATAAAATCATTTCCCAATTTTATGTATTCTGGCAACTGCAGTTAGCCATGTGGTTAGGGTTTCTTTATAAATTCAAACAATGGCTGTGATGAATTTATCCTGAATTATTTATTGATCCCTTTTAAACCACAATATTGAGGTATTTCAATATAAGGTGGTCATTACCTTTTCCCCACCTTTTTTTCCAAAAGAAAAAATCTGTCTTCACTTGCTTAACCATCTCTATTATAACTGCACCCCTAACTCAAGGCCTTCTTATCATTCAACACTTCCACCTGAATAGGAGACGTTTCACCCTAGAGCAGCACCAAATAGTGTGTGCTAGGAAAGCACAACAAAATGGGGAAAAGAGTCCCCTAGAAGAAAAACTTCTGCTGAAAACCAGCCCAGTGCACTACGTATGGTACCATCATCAACAGAGTCCCTCAGGGCATACTTCACAGTTTTCTTGTAATATCCCTGCAAAGGAAGGCTGCTGTAATTACTCCACCATAAAAATACAACCAGGCACAAGGAGGCTAAGCAATTTACCTGAGGTCATAACTAAAACAGTGTAGAAAACTGGGAACTAAAGGCAAATATCCCAATTATGGACAAGCCCTCCAACCATTTTGCTGTCCTGGCCTAAGGACAATTTATGAAAAGAAAGGCAAAATTATTTTGTCTTTTGAGGCTGAGAATGCTATGGGGTCTAAAGGCATTAGCTTAGCATTTAAGACTTAAATATTTCAAAACATAACGATTATGTCAAAGCCTACTGATATCTCCTTAAAAAACATTGTTCTTTTCCCAAATAAAATTAAGATTTGAGAATTTTTGTTTAAAAATGTGTTTGGGAAAGAACATCCATAAGGTTGTAGGTTCTTATAAAGTAGTCCATGGGTCAACCACCTTTGGCGGGGAGGGTAATTGTGTCCCTGTATTACCACCTATTTTTTTCTCTCCTGCTCACCCAGTATCTTTTCTGCTGTGCTTCACTGATATTTCAAGAATCCCACCCCTTCTTCTAAGTCATTCCTTTGTAACTGTTAGCAATTTTATCGTATTTATCAACTCCATTTTTCCCCAGTAAATATCTTGTTCATAGGAAAACGCTAGGCACTCGGGATATATGACAGTCCCTCCTTTCAACCTTGCCTCTTCTTTTCCCCTTTCATCATTTGTCTGTACCTCTGAATGTACTACTTAAATGTCTACTGTCCTTGTAACAGAAATCTTTTACCCTCTTTGAAAGAGTAACCTCTTCTCCAGTCATTGTATTTACTCCTCACTTCTTACACATCTTAATAATGCTATTAAAAACAATTTCCTAAAAACTGGCGCATTAATAATGGTTATGTGATTAAAGATTATTGTGTGTATAACAGTACTGTGGTTCTGTTATTAGAAATTAGGCCTTACCACTTGAGATAACTTCTAAATTATAGATAAAATATAATCTCTGGGATTTGTTTGGAAAAAATAGGAGAAGGGCGGGTGGGGAATGGATGGGACCAGACTGGCCAAAGGTGACGGCCCCAGTTAAATATGTGGAGAGAACATTATGTACTTCTGTATACCTATTTTAATATTTTCCACAATAAAAAGGCAAATTTTTTCATTTTACTTGCTAGTTAGGGCTACTCTCATAAGATCTAATGAAACATTCAGATGACTTGCCATTTAAATGGTGCTATAACACAACACCAAAATACAAAATTATATACTACTGTTATATATATTAGTAATAGTTATCATTTATTATTTCCTCTGTACTAGGCTACTAGGTACTGTTAATGTGATTTACATAAATTATGTCATTCATTTTTATAATAAGCTTACCAGGTAGTTATCACTAAAGGCTGGGGATAGGTTAAAACACTTGCCCAGTATCATCAGGATGGAAACAAACCCTTTGAATGTTCATTATCCGTTCCAAATATGAAGAAAATAATTACAATAACTCAGACACAATGCTAACATCCATAACGATATACTTCATTTCCAAATTACCATAAACTATCAGGTAGGTTTGGCCAAAGACAAGGTTGAAATCAGTTTACATTTACCTAGTTAAGTCAGTACTTGGTGGACTTACAATTTTTATTTGCATTCACAATAAAATCAAGTATAATGCTAGCTGATTGTGTAAAGAGTCACTATTTACAACCACAATTGGAAGGGAGGTAGCAAAGTTTAAAGGCAGCAGGTTTAGCTTTAAGACAGCAGGTTCAGCCTCCTTAAAATGATGATCATCATGTACAATTATGGAAGTCTGACCCTAAAAATGACAGTGATCAATCCCCTATATGTTAGGGCATTTAGTACTGAATAGTTCATAAACATACATAAAATTTAGGAATTACTTTATATCAGCTTGCAAAAGTTTTATGCAATTGTGGATTGTAGTATAGAATAGTTCCTTAAAATTGTTTCAGCAATGGTTTCTTAATAGAACTACTGCATTCCTAAAAACACATGCATTTTTACAAATTATAACCAATGACATTAATGAAACAATTGAAGATTACTTTCCTCTGGAAAAATATTTAAACCCTAGGAAATAAAACTTCTCAAGAATGTCTATTTAAGGAGCAAACATTTTTTCTTGTTAGTGCAACCTGCTGGCTTTTTAAAAGGGCTTCTTTGGCATGAAAGTAAAACATAGGAGACATAGAAATCTTTGTAGTTGTAAATGAACAAATGAGGGCACATACTTCCTAGAAGGAACACAAATCTCACTAAATAAGAATGTTTGCTGAAAAAGAAACCTCAGTCAAGGGGACCAGAAAAGGCTATGATGTTTTTAAGAAATTTCAAATTGTTTGACCGTGTAACAAATCCCGTAATAAATGTCTTTATACAATTTCTTTAAAAGCCAGGTCCTTCCCCTAGCATATGGTGTTTTATTTACAAAAACATACATACAGATTCTCAGGAAATTGAGGTATTAGAAAATTGAGAATAGTCATACAGCAAAGAGGTAGTCATGAAAATCCATAACTAAAAATGAGCTTATTTCTTAGCACTTTAAAAACCTTACATTATAACCCCTGCATGCACCGTTTACATTTTTTAAAGATAGATTTTGGCACTTGGGTGGTCGGTCATTCCTTGGTCTTTTTCATATGCAGATTAAATACTGATTGATCTCAACAGAACTTGTGCTGTGTGTGAGTTCTTTCACCAGCTGTGCTAGCAGGCTGTACCAAGTCTGGCACTCCCATCCCCACACTCCTGTGCTTTTGATGTACCATTCACTAGATGACCGGCTAGAATCAAAGGTGACACACCATGGCCAGAGAACAAAATAAAATTAACCTGGTTCTCTCAGAAACAAAAACATTTGCCTTTGCATCCACATGATCAATCTTCCAGGATTTAAAAAATAAGTATAAATATGGTATTCTTCCATATTCTAGTATAACCACTAGTAATGAGAAACCAACCTCAGAGGTGAAAAGATTTCAATTCATCTTAAAATAAGAAATTACTATGTCTAACTATGTAATATATTTTAATGCTGAAGATATGACAGTCTCAACAGAAACCAACTTTTGGCACTTGAATCTGTGCATCTCTGCAACTCAAAGAACTTACAAATAATAAAAACTGGAAAAGGCTACTTTCCTCAGAAGTACTACATAACAGAGCCAGGGAGAGAGGTGGTGTCAGTCAGATACTGTATTAATGAAATAGACTGTCAGCATAAATAGTGCAGCTATACTCTTTTGCTCAGAGGCGATTTTTAACCATGATCCTTGTGTTTCGTATTTCAACAGTATGGTCTTAAAAATCATATTCAAAACATGCTTTCCTCAGCTTTTACTGCTTAAATATTATCTAAAGCTATGCTATACAATACAGTAGCCACTAGTGACATGTAGCTATTTCAATTCCAATTAATTAAAATAAAAAATTCAGTTCTTCATGCTAGCCACTGTTTAGGGGCTCAGTAGCTACGTTACTGGAGGCTAGCATATTGGAGAACACAAAGAACATTCACATCGCCATAAAAAGTGCTATTAGACAGCGTCGATCTGAAGAAAGTGCAGTGTGCCATATGCTTCTGAGACTTTTCAAACTGTTTTAAAAGTTGTTTAAAAGTATCACTATATTTCTGGGCAACAGGTTAATACTGACCTCTGTTCATAGGTGTGAAAGAACAGTATCAACTTTCTGGTCCTTATTTAGACAATGTATGAAGTATTTAAAGTGCCACATAAGGCCCAAGTAAAACACGAACTCAGATATTTTCAAAACATGACTATAAAAGAAAAAATTGAAGATTTGGTATGCATGATAAAATTTAGCAGTCATGATCAAAACAGATCTTTTCCACTAATGTCCATAAATCCTGATAATGAAAACATACATAAACACCATTTAAAGCTTCTCACAAGAATGGGGCAAAAGGCCCTTTATATAATGTTCTATTTTATTTTGGTGTCTTGGTAAGGGTAAAAAAAATTACTTAAGTACAAACAAAAATCAGAAATTTTGAAATAAAAACTGCCTTAGAAATAAACGGCTATGAAACAAGGACATAAAAACAGTTTTTGGTTTAATATACTCACTTGTATTGATATCTGGTATATGCGTTGACTAACTTTGAATACTTTTAGGAAACTTAAAGTTCATGTTATTTTCTAATTTACTTTGTTAGAACACAAAGTGGAGATAACAACTGTATGTCACTTCTTCCAAATAACTGAAATGGGAGGCAGGAAGTGGGGAACAGATTCGATTGCTTGAGGTTTTTTCTAAGTAAGTAAAACAACTCAATCATAAAATGCACACAGCTGGATCTAAAAGAAAAATGCAAACACAACGTAACCATACTTTATTTGACTGCATCTTATTTAGACAGCTTGCACATTTCAAATCCCATTAAATCTCTCTCTCCAAAAGGATACGGGACAATAGAAGAAAATTATGCAGCAATATCCAGTCATCAAATAGCAGTCCAATATTTTGAGATACACGTGATATTTTATAGATACTCAAACTCATATCTGACGTCAATATAATTTATGGTTATGTTTTTACAAACCTGAAAGCCCTGTAACATTTTAGCACTCAATTTTAGTGATGTCACGGTGCACTGAAAAATAACTGATGCACTACCAATTTGCTTTTATCTATGCTCCTGAAAAGTGATGAATTTCATGATTTTTAGACACCATAATATACACATCCAGTCTTATACATGTCAGCCAATACCATAAGACAGGGCAAGGTAAAGTTAAAACATGTGACAAACAAACTCCTTTACACAGATTTGTCAAGCAAGTGGAGAGGGTAATTTGGGGAAGAGGCAGAAAATACTAAAACCAAATTTTTAATAGTAATTTTTTTCTTTCTTTTTTTAATTTTGCTGGCTTCAACTTCAAAAACTACTCTCTGGTTTCTGATCTGTGGATTTCTCTTTAGTTTTATTTTAACATAAGAAGAATTATAATCAGTCCACACATCAAAAATGGTAGTATACCCGTTAGCTTCTTCAATACTAACATACATAGCTTCATGGTAGCATGTATAAAAAATGTTCAGCAGTATCAACTGCCAAACCAGTGTCAGTGGATAGCACAGTCAGTCTTAAAGAGGCAGCACCCCTTCAAAAGAAAGTTGCACCAATTTTGCTCAGTTTTAGCCAAGTGAACTCACTCTTATCAATTTTAAATGGAATTGTTTTAAGATTATGTGGGAAAAATAAAAGCCCGATATCAAAAAGTAAATTAATGCTCTTTCAACTGGAATAGAGACTTAGTTCTGGTGCTGGGTTATCATCCTAGAGGTTAAAATTTTAGTCTACTTAAGTGAACAATTTTTGCATACCCAATTAAAGACATAAAGTAGACAGTTATTCAACATAAACCACCAATATGGCAACCATATGTCTTTTTAGTCACATGGCTATGGTCATATTTATAAACATCCAGTCAATTTGGCAAAGCTTGGTCAATTCTGAGGGAAAAGGTCAACAGTGATGGTTTCATTGACAACCTGTCAAAAATATAATGGTTGAACTGAAAACCCAGCATGTATCTACTTTAGAACTGTCCCCATTAGTGAGTCAAGCAAATGTATGTACATCAACAACCATTACCTATGAACCAGCAAGTCAAATATAAAGTGGTGAGAGAAAATCTGATTATGTTAAGCACTGCACTGTTTTAGTTGTTTCCTCCATATTAAAAAATGACAGAAGCATCAGAATGATTGGCAATCCTCTAAGTCCTAGAGCCCAAATGAAGTTTGACCAAAAACATACTCAAAATGGCTAGCTGAAAAGCTGAGTATTGTGCAGTCATATTTTTAATGTAACCAGTATTCTGCCCATTAAGTTTTCAAGAGCAATATAAAATGGAAAAAGTTTTCTTTAATAATAAGGAACTATAAATGATCCCACCAGCAGAAAGATTTTATTTCACCAAATCTGTGTATCTTTATTTTAAAAGTATTTGTTACCGTGTTCACTTTCAAGACATTACACTGAGCAAAGAGCAGCTTTCCTTTAAAAATAAAAAAAAAGGACAACAAACTTTCCTGAAAGGGGGCTTTTACCAACTGTTAATGGAGGTAGGGTTTAAAAAAATACAGTAATCATAGTCATAAAATAAAATTCAAACCAAATCCTAGAGCAGAAGTAAAGCATAGCCAAATGAAAGAAAACATAGGTTCCTATAAAACATTTTTCACAGAGAATGAATCTTTTTTTTTTCATGGGTTCCTAGGTTTTCCAGTTAAATAAATTATCCATCACAGATTTCCTGATTCAATGGAAAGCAATTAACTTTAATTTTGTTACAGTGCACAGACTGGCCAAAACACGATGTAACTAATGAACATGGTGATGGCTATTGAAAATCCATAAGAACTCATTCCAAAAAAAGTTTCCATTTCTCCCTGCTGTTTTTCTAGGAACTAAACAAAGCTCCCCCAAGTGTTTGCTCAAATAAGTGGAAATAAAATCAGTTTAAATTGATACAATGCACCTTAAAATTTATTTCCAAGACCAAGAACCAAAAGTGAAACATTTTAGGAAATGAAAGCAATGTGAATCCTAATCAAGTGGGAAAAAAGTTCCAACTACATTGTAAAAGCTGTTCTTCACAGCTTAGCAATAATTTTGATTAAATAAAATCATATCAGTTTACATTAATTTTCTATTCTTTTCCAAATATTCCCTCACTCTCAAAAAAAAAGTGCATCCAAAACCCAGCAATTACCGGCTCCATCAACTTTTCTCATCCCCTTTGGAGCCATTTTTCAAAGACTTTCCGAGTAGATTCAACTTCTTACTGTAAAGTAAACCACTCTGTCACTCACCTGGAAAAAGTATCCAAATTATAAAAATCTGAAATAATTTATTATCAAATTTAGAATTTAAATTAAAAAAAAAAAAACCCACAAGTTTGCTTGCAAAGGCCTTAAAAAAAGAAAAGGAAAAGGTAGCATGCATTAAAAAACTAGAGATGAAGACAAATATACTTATCTACACAGGCACTGGCAGACGCAATTTAATTGTTATCTTTACTCATTGTAAGACACAACCAATCCTAAAATTTTTTCATTCACTAATCACTGAGGTACCAATATTCAAGAATGGAAAATTTAATATTGAAAAAATAAAACCTAAAATTGAAGCTTTTCCCCCCACCCCCTTCAAAAAACTATGGCAGGTTTCATGTGAAATGTTAGTATACTTAAATTTTTACAATCTACATTGGCTTTTTTTTAAGGAACAAAAATCATGTTCCACTTACTGGTTCTGTGGTAAATTGATCACTGTGTAAATAACATTGTCAGCAGACTGTAAATCAACAAACAAATCTTGGCTATCAACTGGCACATCTTGTTGGTACCAAAAAAACTCTTTAAATTTAAAACAATCTCTTTTAATTCAGAACAAATGCGCCATGCCAAAGTGCAACAAATATTGTGCGACACTCAATGAGACACTGACAGATAAGAACTGCATGGAAATTACTAAATCCACCTGGCAAAGCAATTCTGTACAAATTGCATTGCATGCAAAGGTCGATTCCGTGTGGTTGGAAAGTTGTTCCTTGATGTCAGTTTCTCAACGCAGCCACAATTTAAGTCGCAGTGCATCAACTCCATTTAAATAGTATCTGAAAAGCCTCTTATCTCGAACAAAACCAAGATTTTCATAAAGTTTCAAAGCAGACTTATTCGTTATTTCTGTTTCCAAAACAACCTTTGAAAAATAAGAAAAACTAAGTTAGAATGTTATATATTTGAAACTAATTTATAATTTCATAATGACAAATCACTTACAATTAGATCAAATATTTTTTTAAAAATACTATATTTAACTGTTTTAAAATTGATGGCAAAATAATAATTATTAACGATATACAGAAAAACACACATAAAAATAGTAATCAAAATTTTAACAATAATTCCCTTTTGGGGCAAAAGAAGTGGAAACACTGAGACATGTTTTGTTCTAATGATTTTTGTGATATTTAGAATTTTTAGTAATGAGAATATATGATTCACAGTAAAACAAAGAAATTATTTCCCTGTGGATAACAGTTGTGAGACAAAAAGATAATAATAAAATAAAAAAAATCAATGGCTAAAGAAAATAAACCAGTATTTCAAAGTATTCAGATTAACCTCTATCCAACTCCTATATTTTCACTAATTTGTCATCATTCATCCTGATGACAATTACCACACTTGTCTAGAGTCTAGACCAGAGTCTGCAAACTACAGCCCTTGGGTAAAATGTGCCCGCTGTCTATTTTTGTAAATAAAGTTTTATTGGAACACAGCAAAGCCCATTTGTTTACCTGAGATCTATGGCTGCTTTCTCAATTTACAAAGACATAATTGAGTAGTTGCACCAGAGACCTATGATCTGCAAAGCCTAAAATATTTACTATCTGGCCTTTTGCAGAGAAAATTTGCTGAACCTAGACCAAAGGTACCCAAACTTTAGTGTACCTAGAGGGCTTGTTAAAAGAGATTGCTGAACCCCACCCCCAAAGTTTCTAAGTAGGTTTGGGGTGGGGCCCAAGAATCTGTATTTTTTTAAATTGCCAGATGATGCTGATGATGCTGGTCAGGGGAATAAATAATGAGAACCAGTATCTAGACATTATAAATACCAATGTTTTAAACAGAGAAACACACAAAGCATTATGGTCTTTCTGGGTCTCTTTTAATATTACTGAACCAATGGCCCTGATGATGAACTGATACTTTTGAATATTATGTGATTTTCTTTCCTTAATTTATTTTACCTTCCTCTACCAAAACATCCTTTATCCCACCCTCCCAACTTTTATATTTGTAGGTCTATTTGCTTTTCTATTGATTCTAAACCTACCACATTGAGAGTTATCAACACAGTGAGCTATGTTTATTGTCAAGAAGTGATAACCCTCAGGGGTTTGGAGTAGGATAAAAAGGGCAAAATATAATTAAAAAGAGGCCCAAGTGAAGCCTTTGAGTATCTTCCTATTCCAACTCAAACTATCAAAAAAATCTGACAAGAATTCAAGCAAAAGATGAAAATAATAGAGAAAAAGACTGTACCCCAACTCATTATATCCAAAACTGAAATTATGATTAACCCCTCCTCCATAATTCTGTATGTCAGTAACAAGATCTTCATCCCACCAATGCCTCAAACCTGAAACCTATGAGTCATCTTAGAACCTTTTTCCTCTCCACCCCCATACATATGTCCAAACACTGGGTATTTCAATTTTCTCTCTTAAATATTTCTCAAACTGATGCTCTTCTTTCTATTCCCATGGGTACTACTCTAGTCCAAGCTGCCATCAACTTTCACTGTAAGTACAAGAGCCTCCTAACTCAAAAGGTCTCCCATTCTCTAAGTAGTGTGATGCTCTTGTTAATTCCCTGCTTGTTCTCAAGATAAAGTCCATAAGTTAACCTAAAGAGATGTAAAAGGCCCATCAAATTTGGCCTCTACCTACCTTGCCAACTCTGTCTCTCCCCTTGCTCTCCATGATCAACACTAAACTTTCCATTTCTGGAATCCACGAGATCTTTCCTGCCTAAGCTGTTTTCTCTACGTAGAAGAGAATGCTCTTTCTTCCGTCCTTGCTTATGGACTTAGCTTGTCACTTCCAGACTGATTAGAGTACAGTGGTACCTTGGTTTTCAAACGTCTCCATTGACGAACATTTTGGTTTACGAACACCGTAAACCTGGAAACGCTTGTTTTCGAACACGCCTCAGAAATCGAACATGCCACACGGATCCCCAGAGTGCAACATCCTGAGGCCTAGTTGTCGGCTGTTGATCCCTCAGTTTTCGAACGTTTCAGAAGTCAAATGGTCTTCCAGAACAGATTACATTCGAAAACCGAGGTACCACTGTATATCCCTTTCCTTTATACAACCCCACAGCACTCTGCACTGCTCCTTATTCAACCGCAGTTTCACTTAACATTTGACGAGTACATCATCTCTCCTAGCTGGGGAGCCCAACAATGGCTGTGATCATGGGTACCTCCTTCACAGCTGTTTCCTCTGCACCTAACACACTGCCTGACACATAGAAGTCTCTTAAATATTTGTTAATTATGTATGTTCTCAGCACCTTTATTATATTACATAAATATTAAACAAACAAAAGTACTATCGAGCTTGTAAATGACCGGAGTACTTAAAGAGAAAGCACTATCTTAAGACAATTACCTATGCAATTAAGTCATAAAAGCAAATCGCATACTAAATACAAACTTTTATAAGATCTAAAGAACAAGTAATAGTTCAGGATCAAGAGAAAATTTTCCTAAAAAGGCCTGAAATAACAGTTGTATAGTAAACACACTGGTTTAAGATAAGACTAAAAACTCATATCTCTCAGCTTTTTAAAAAGCAGAATTTAATTTTTAGTAATGTATACCACCCAACACTCCAGTCTGGTCAATACAAGTTTATAGTTTTGAATAATTCTCTTGGGTAATTCCTAGAATTCTGTTTTAGGCCAGTGCCTAATTACAGCTAAAATGTAAAATCAAAACAATTAATATAAGAAGCAATAAAGCTGCAACAACACAAAACTAGGAACTGATTTCACAGAAATAAAAAGGACAATTAAAAAAAAAAAAAGCTGATATTTATCAAAGGCTTACTAAATGCCATGTTAAGCATTTTACATGCATTATGTCATTTTGCATGCATTTGTCATTGTTATTTTCACAATAACCCTATAAATATTATTACCTCCAGTTTACAAATGAACGACACTCAAGGCCAGTCTCTAAATCTAAACTAGAGCTTAATAGTAGTCACTCTTCTATACCTCCCCCGATTGTTTTCCAAAGTAAAAACAATGAAGCAAATAGGAGTTCTAACTTACTTAAGAAACGATGAAGGAGAAAGTCCATGTTCATTAATATTTGGCAATCTAAAATATTCAAAACATCTGAGGCTAACTACAGCTACGTAAATACACACTTGAGGTTTTGAATGACATCGAAAAAAATTACACAAAGGGCTAACTTTTATTAACATAAAGATTCTCTCGGCACATTCACAATTTCTAAAAAAAGAGATCATGTATTATTTGACTCAACAGAAAATGCTAAAAAAAAAATACTTTTTAATACTTAATCACTTATATTCTTGTATTAAAAGAGAATCTGGGTTTATACTGAAAATTCACTATAAAACTATTCTTTTAGTACACATCATGGGAGTATTACATAGGAAGCCAAAGGGTAATATGGTTATTTTGGTTCTAAAGAAACTTGGCAAAGTTGAATTCTCCTTAACAGAAAAAAAGGATTACAGCGAAGTTCCACAGATTCTCTTAGCAACAAACCATTGTTAGAATAAGCCAAACCATTAGTTAAGAAAGCCCTTCTTAATATTATAGGCTGGAAGCTCCTAGGGATAGGACAGGATTGTTCACTACTAGAACCTAAGCACTAGCACATTGTCTGGCACCTCACAGGCTACTTACACTGATATTGCTGAATGAACACCTTTACTGCTCTTCATTACATCCCTTTAAGATCAGAATTACCATCACACTGCACAGAGAGAAACTATAAAAAATGACTTGCCTACAATCACACAACTATACTGGCAGAAGACAGATCTGGAAGCCAAGCTTCTTACATCCAGCTCTTTAATTAGGCTAAAGTACTCAACAAAAAATCCTTACAGCTTAAATAATTCCATTTTACTCTGTTCTTTACCTAGCAGCCTCAGTCTCGTAGCCAAAATATGTTTTCAGTTAAACTAAAAATGTTAGGCATATAATTACTAAACACAAAAGCCTTAAAAGTCATCTTGTACATAATCGTAAGATGTATGTTATTTTGTTTACACGTAACAGGTTTATTATAGGTTATTTAAATAGGCCACTGTTGGTGGGAATGTAAATGTGCCCAGCCTTTATGGGAAACAATATGGAAGTTCCTAAAAAAATTAAAAATAGAATTATTATTTGATCCAGCAATCCCGCTTCTGGGTATATATATCCAAAGAAACTGAAATCAGGATCTCAAAGAGATATCTGCAACCCCTGTCCATGACAGCATTATTCACAATAGCTAAGATATGAAAACAACATAAGTGTCCATCAAGAAATGAAAGGAGCCTGGCAGGGCATGGTTCAGCAGTTGAGCATCGACCTAGGATCCAGCTGATCGAGGTTCGATTCCCGGTCAGGGCACATGCCCGGGATGCAGGCTCGATCCCCAGTCAGGGGCATGCAGGAGGCAGCCGATCACTGACTCTCTCATCATTGATGTTTCTATCTCTCTCTCCCTCTCCTTTCCTCTCTCTGAAATCAATAAAGATATATTTTTTAAAAAAGAAAAAAAAGAAATGAAAGGATAAGGGAAAAGTGGCATATATAAAATGGAATACTTTTTAGCCTTTAAAAAAAAATCCTGCCATTGTGTCAACATGAATGAACCTAGAGAACATTATGGAAAGTGAAATTCGTCAGACACAAAAAGGCAAATATTGCATAATCTCACTGATATGTGGAAACTAAAATGGTCAAACTCATAGAAGCAGAGAGCAAAATGATAGTTTTCAGGAGCTGAGGGGAGGGGAAAACGGGAAGATGTTGGTCAACCAAAAATGTTTTAAGGTCACATACTGCACATTTACATTCCATTAAGAAGTTTTGACTCCAAAGTACTCTCATCATCATATAAGTTAGTACCAAATATTAATAACATGGTAACCATACCTTACTTAAGTCTAAAAATGATTTTGAAATTTAAATTTCCAGAGATGTGATTTCAAAGACTACAGCTTAAAAAGTAAAACATTGTTGATCAGGCTGATCAGTCACCTGTCCCATTCAAAATTATTTTATAAAAAGCACATAAAATTAAATGGCCACCATGTGGGTTCATTATTTTAGCTACACAAGTCCTACTTTAAAAATCACATTTTAGAAAACTCACTCATGCTCTTTGTATGTGTTTTTCTTACTATTTCCCCTACTGTAAAACACAAACCCAAGATACTTGTTCTAGTAGCCATAACAAGTTTGTCACCTAGAACATGGGGCATAATCAAATGTAAGCCAGATCAGCAACATGGGCAAAGTATTTCTTATTCATGAAAAAACAAATCCACTTGTTTCTTCTTTTAATGCTGGTAACTTTCTAGTCAGCTCCAAATATATAAAAACAAAAAAGACCTTTAGCTAAGCTGCTTTAACATGTCTAATTCTGATATAAAAAGTTAGGAAAGTCATACTAAGGCGAAATAAAAGTATCTTTTGCCTTAGGAGAGTATATCATTATTATCTGGGCATAAACATAATCTACACTTCAACTCTGCGATTACTAACTTTGGTTTAATTTACTCTGAATTTATCTTTAAATGAAAAGTGGCAACCAAGAGCAATATAAACATGACTCAAGGTCACAAATTTTGCAAACAGAATAGAAAGTAAAAACTGACCAAATGTGCATGCTAAGTCTTCACAAAAATTTCCAAATGTATCTGTTAATAGGATCATATATTTGAAAATATCTATTTTTGTAAGAATTTAAAAAATAGCAGCACAACCTAATTAGTAGAAAATGAAATTTAAAACCCTTCTCTAATGTCTTTCTGATAATATGTCAAAATTCCTTAACACTTTAAAAGAATGGAAGGTTAGTCTAAGTTAATGAAAGTAAAATCACAGGTCGGTTGTTTTATAATATATATATTTCTTTCTTTTTTTAAAAAAGGAATCTTTGCTTTCCTCAGTGGTTAAGACACAGACTCTGTACAAGTAAATTTAAGCCAAGTACA